CTTTTTCTCGGACTGGGACCTGTTCATATACGTTCTTGGCAGATGATCCAGAAGTGGTTTGCCATTGCCTTCTTCTGTGTGTGAATGGAGTAATTGTTGGGATGCCACGGAGAAACCGGTGGGAAGCCCCCGGAGGAAAACTCCGTGTTGCATAGACCACGGCCTTCCCCAACACAAGTTATAAATTCGGGCACCGCCGGGAATCGAACCCGAGACCTCCAGGATTACAAGGCCAGTGTTCTAACCGCTAGACCACCGTGGCTGGCTATTTCAAGGGTAAAGGAATAAATAATGATATTTCCTCTGGTCTTTGACCGACGTTACCGAATCCTTAAATACGGTCGTATGATAACGAGACTGGGCGAGATGAACGTGGATGTCTTTTGGAATGTTGCGCCGTGGTCCGTTCCTCTGCAGTCGAGTACGCGTGGACCTAACAAAAGTTCTCATACCCATTTTCAGTAGGGGCCAAAGACCCAGCACGGTTTCTACTGCACCTGAAAGTTACTCGAATATTATCCCAACCCCGCCCCCTGAACGTTTTAGCACACTACATTCTACATTCTACATTCACTGTGACCTGTGGAATTGTTTGCAGTAATAGGCCTGGCTACGTTTTAAATAAATTACGATCACGTTGCGTCATTTATATTATGTGGCCCCGCGGTTCATTGAAACATAGTAAATGTCGTCCCGGGTTTCGAACCCCTGCTATAAATGTTCGTAATAAAACCCGACTCTGTCATATTGACGTCGGGTGAAATCCGCACAGAGGCACATGAAGTCGAATTTCGTCTAAATAATATTTAAAAATTCAGTTTCGACCTCAAGACGTCATCATCAGTGACAATGTTTTTGTCTGTTTGTATGCACGATGTTATATTCCAATATGCTGCACGCTATTCAAGGTTTTAATGATTCCAAAGATCATTTGGCTGATGACGGTAAACGAAACAGTCCGCTGTTCATTCTGAGAATCACGAAACTTTAAAATACAGGGTAAAGGAGGAGTCGAGTGGTATATATAGTTACCACTCGACTTTATAGAAGGATAATGCTAATTCTGTATTGAATTAAGTTACTTAATTGTGTTCCCTTATGTTTGTTTAGAGACTGTACAATGTAGACAGAATTTTCGAGAGGGATAACCGAGTAATCTCATTAGTATTATGATAACGAATTGACGTTCGAATCCCGTACAATGGTCATCCCTTGAAAACCCCATCACCGCCTGTGTTATGGGTTACTCATGTAAGCTTAATGTCGGCTATTGTGAGGGCGAATTCTGTTCCATATGTATGGGCCAGACGCGTGTGCCCTGCGATCCAATAGAATTGGCCCACCCAAAAAAAAAAGGATACGACTTAACTTTCTGTGAGGGCTGTACTTGGAAACAGTTGCGCGTTAGGAGAAGGGGAACTGCTTTGTTACGTGGGTCCAGCCCCCGAGGCAACCCCTAGTAATCCAGCGTCCAACAATGAGACAAGATCCATTCGGTTATCTGATGTGACAAACGCTGGCATTTTCTTGCTCCGTTGCCCCCAACAACCATAAACTATAAAAAAAAATCCAAACTGACAAATAATGAAGCATGAAGTCGGGTTAAGGGGGAGTGGTAGGCTTCTCATGCAAATCTCCGTGCTTTGTAACAGAAGAGGATTCGAAAGGGGATGCATAGGTCTAGGGAGAAGGGTAGATACCCCCTTGCTCTAGAGCACGTTACCTTTCAACGCCATGACGAAACACTGAAGACGACGACAGCGCACCTGGAAATTAAATGTCCATCGGCGTCTTGTATCTGCAGCGAATTCCGTGGAAGTCTTTCTCCAGAATCTTCTAGTCGCTCAGCTAGTGGGATCATCGTTTCGTATTGAGCAATGAAAGATCAGTCACTCGGCGGATCGGTTCGTGAGGTGGCAGTGAGACTTAGACGTTTTCTAAATTACTGGCTCTCGAACTGTTTTATTCTGAAGTTCACTTGACGTTAACAAAAATGTTTCTCGAACCACTAACAATTATTGAAAATGTGGTTTAGCAGTGTTAAAAAATAATTATTAATGAACGTTAAAGAAATCAAATCTAAAACTTCTTGACGATGGTGAAGAGTCAATTGAATAAACATTTTCTTGGATATTATCTTCAGAAGACGGAGATAGAGTCCCATCTCCGAAACGTCGTTTTACGTTTTATATTTACTAGACGATGGATAATATCCAAGAAAATTTTTATTCAATTGAACGTTAAAGATACCTAAAAATTTAACGCCTTTGTATAAATATGACCCAGATGTTTACGGTCCCCTGGAAGCCCGCAACGTCACTATGGGCTTACGACCCATGTCTGGAAGATTGTTAATCTCCGAGCCCCGAACAAAGTACCTTAACCTTCTTGGTAGAAGGTAATGGATCCAACTTCTTGCAGGAGTGCGAATATCAAATATCTCCTGGGGAGCCTTGCGGGCTGCAGCAGGAGGAAGTTCCAGGCGTGACTTCTTGGCCACAGACGCTCGTGGCCCTGAGAAAACTCCCGGTCTGCTCTGACGGCGACGCCATTGGTGAGTAGCGTCTAATAGTAACGTTAAGTTGTGGATTTATGGTGTGTTTTGGTTAAACTAGTTGACAGTCCAAGACAATTCCTGCCATGCGGTCGTTCTTTTACGTGTCTATCGCGTAGACTGTTAATCAGTCGGCGCAGTTAGACCTGAAGCGATACTTCGGAATAGTGTAAAAAAATAGTTTATCTGTGACTTCTAATTTTTTATGTCGAATGCTAACCCCGGTAAAAGCACTTCTTACTGGACAACTGCAGTAGATGGAATCGGAGCTCGCAGCTGTCCGCCTCGGAGCACGTGTTGCCAGTTTATCTGCTTTCCCAGTGAATCACGTAATGTTTCTATCCGCCGCTGTGCTAGTCTGCTGGAGTGAGTGTAATTCGTAAAACTTGGGCTTTCGGGATGAGCCACGTCGAATTTTGAAATCTATCCATAATTTCGGCGAACATTGAAGTTGCCATCTTCAGGGTGAATGTTTTTGTTTAGGTTTTTTTTTAGGCTTGTACAGGGCAGGTTGTAGGCGGTGAATTGGATGTAATGGTTCTGATTGGCGGATCGAGTAAGCGGGCTGCTATTGGACTGTCGATGAACACATGATTGAGGAAACGAAGTGATAAAAATCGTCTTTCGTCACCTCACCATCGGGTGCTCATATGTGGCTCCATGGGTTAATCTGGAATGTAATCCGAGGCCTCCTTTTACGACCTACGTCTAGTAAATATACGAATAGCCATTTTTCACATTATTTTTGTAGTATTCGATGTAAGCAGCCATTGCTAGGTGCTTAAACACGCGAGATTTTATATTAAAAACTTCGAGCTCATCCCAAAATAAAATGGTGAATAGAGTACAGTATACTGTCTTTTATTCTCACTTTATAGGGCTTATGGTTTTATTTGCCCATGGATTATCGTGGATGTTGGAAGTGAGGGGCCGAGGGTAGGAGAAGCAATCTCCCCTCTCCCCAGACATGTTATGTACCTGTGTGTAATGGTAGAGTTAATTTCAGAGATAAATTCGAAATTCTTTGGAAAATAATCGATATTATTAGGCATCTAACATTGTATTGGCAACCATAAGTTAGTAGAACGAACGCGTATTTCAGCTGCAGGTGTAGTTTGGTCCTTTGGTACATTTCTGGGACTTGAGGGACAAAGAAGAATATTTTATCTTCCAGGTTATGACGCCGTGTAGAGTCGCAGACAGACACCAGCGTTTCGGAGAAACATACTCATTCCTAGCCTCGTGGATAGTTACCAGCGTCGAAGATTGAGACAGTATGTTCATCCGAAATGTTGGTCTACCTTCAAATCTACACGGTGTCAAAATCCAGATCATCATCATTATCATTTTCATCGTATATTTTACAAAACTTTTCTCGGTCGCTCGAGATGAAGGGATTGCGGTCGTAGGTCGATACGAACGTCCCTCTATCTTCGAGATTTGATATCGAGAACGTGTGTT